CTCACAGAGATCCACCTGCTTCTGCCTCCTGAGTGCTGCTTTTTTTTTTTTTTTTTGAGACAGGGTCTCTCTGTGTAACATAGGCTGATCTTGAACTCACTCCAGTCAGGTATGAGCCACTGTGCCTCGCGAAGACATCATTTCTCTTTCACTCTTTTAGAATGGAATTGGTCCCTCCTCACTTGTTTCCACTATGTCTAGGGTAGAGGAAAGAGGGACACTGTATTGTTTTAGGGTAGAGGAAGGAGGCAACATATTTTGTCCTCATTTTGTGTCTCCTAACATTGTTCTTATCTTCAGCAACTCCCTGTCCTAAAACCATTTGCTAGGCTACTAAGTACCATGATATTAACTTTCCCAAACAGAAGCTCTGGTCGCTCCTCCTTGGCCCTCACATCCATTTCAAACCCTTCATTCTCCTGGGAGACTGCACTCATGGAGGAGTTATTCTCTACGCATTCCAGATGCGTGCTTTTATAATTTTCCAACTTCAAGATACTTTACCTCTATTCGACTTCAGACATAATTGTAGCCACACCTTGGCCAGTACACCCAACTTTTGGATAGCTTCATCTTTAAAATGTCATAGTGACTTTTTCCTCTACAGGTTTGAAGTAAGGATTAAAGGACAAAGTGCCCATGAATGCCTGCCTTGAATGGATACCCAATAAACGTTTCTTTCCTGGACCTTTCTTTCTGTTGAAAGGCAGGGACATGCATTGAAAACTCTATTTCTTTCCCTGTTATCTGGAAGATCATTTGAATTTAAGTGTAACAGTCTGTTAAATGACATCTCTGGGGATCTGTGTTCTCGCTGGCACTGGAGAGATGCTAGCATCCAATATTGTGGGCGACAATTGTACTAATAAATATAGCACAATACCCACCCTCTTAATTACAGAATGTGCTTGCAGAAAAGTAACACTGATTCCTATCTGATTAATATGTATAGGTTTTGCTTTTGGCTACATGCCAGTAATTTTCATGACGAGAATTTCTCTGGCCTCATAGTTCTCTTTGCTGCTTCTCCTCCATCAGTGAATTGGTGTGAACAGACCCACCCCAGACATGTGACAGATTCCTTAAACCACAAATCTTCTCCCCCGCCCGAGGGACTTAAAATGGGTGAGTATATTGTCTTATTTTAGGGTTTCTATTGCTGTGATGAAACACCGTGACTAAACAACGTGGGGGAGGAAAGGGTTAATTTGGCTTATACTTCACTGTTGATCATTGAAGGGAGTCAGGGCAGGAACTCAAGCAGGGCAGGAAGCTGGAGGCAGGGGCTTTACCTGCCAGACATGAGCGTGGGGTTTGAGGTCTGTTACTGATGAAAAGCTCTCTTTATTGCTATGTTCTAGGAGTAGCAGCTGAGTGATATTTGTGCGCGAAAAGCTAAGTGACTCCTCTGAGGGGCTGAAGGAGTCCAGTCCACCTCAGCCACGTGTTACCTTTGTATTCAGATAGAATAATTAGGCTCAGACTCTTTTCTAAATGGCAATGATGCCTATGCGGGCGTTAATCTTCACTGTGGACTTGACCGGATCTGGAATCAACTAGGACACTGCTAGGTGTGACTAGATGTGTGTGAGGGAGCACTTCCAGGCAGCATTGGTTGAGGGAGAAGACACCTGACCAAGGCAACAGGCTCCCCCAGCAGCAGCCCAGCTGCAAAGGAGTTCTAGCAAACAGCAGTGCTCTGCTTCGCTTCCCTTCTCGCTGGGAGGTGTGGCTTCCCTGTAGCTGTTGCTGCTGCTGCTCCCTTGGCCTTCCACTGGGGCTGAATACCGGTGGCTGTCTAAGGACCGCCATAGCCCTCAGGGCGTCCAGCTTGGTGGACTGAACTGGGTATCTACTGGGCACTCAGCCTCTTTAGTGTGCAAGAAACTACCCTTGGACTGCACATCCCCTATGGAATAAGCCAACTGAACAAATCTCCCTTACATAGATCTATCTATCTATCTATCTATCTATCTATCTATCTATCTGTCTGTCTGTCTGTCTGTCTGTCTGTCTGTCTGTCTGTCTGTCTGTCTGTCTGTCTGTCTGTCTACCTACCTATCATCTCCATTCATCCATCTATCTATCTCCTATCAGTTATGTTCCTCTAGAGAACCACTGTAGTTGGAATTTTCTTTGGGCCACCAACCAGCACCCAAATAAAGACATGGAGACATTATTAATTATGAATGCTCGGCCCTAGTTTTGGCTTGTCCCACTAGCTCTTTAAACTTACTATTTGTCTATGTTTTGCCTCAAGACTTTTTACCTTCCTTTGTGTCTGTCTGTCTGGTCTCTGGCATCTCTGTTTTCTTTCTTCTTTGAGCCCCAATTCCTCCTCCTTATCTCTCCACCCAGAAGTCCCGTCGATACCTCCTCCTTCACTATTGGCTGTTCAACTTTTTCTTAGACAAATCAGGTGATTTAGGCAGGCAAGGTAAAACAGCAATACATCTTTACATAATTAGACAAATGTAACACATTTCTACATAGCTAAAGAAATGTAGCACATCTTTGCATAGTCAAACAAATATTCCGCAACAAACCCCTTTTCTATATATTTGAAAGTATTGTGCAAATCAAAGAGATTTGGTGTTGTATTTAAAAGTTAGAAGACAGGCCGGGCGGTGGTGGCGCACGCCTTTAATCCCAGCACTCTGGAGGCAGAGCCAGGCGGATCTCCGTGAGTTCGAGGCCAGCCTGGGCTACCAAGTGAGTTCCAGGAAAGGCGCAAAGCTACACAGAGAAACCCTGTCTCGAAAAACCAAAAAAAAAAAAGTTAGAAGACAGATGTTATATTTCCCGACCGACTTTAGTTAGGGAAGATGAAGAAGATCAATAAAAAACTTTGTGGCAAGGAATAGAAGCTCTGTCAGAAAAGAATGGAAGAAAGCACAAGAGAAAACCTGAAATAAATAGTTTAATAATTTCAATGCAAAGAGTTGATTTGGAAAGAGTTCATTTTCTTCTTTTTTTGGAAAGCTGAACTCTGGGCAGTGGGTTTGAATCACTAAATTAAAGAACCTTTTGGGAAGGCGCAAAGCTACACAGAGAAACCCTGTCTCGAAAAACCAAAAAAAAAAAAAAAAGAACCTTTTGGGGCGTGGGGGTGGGCTGTGTACAGCTCGGTGGTTGTCCAGTATGTGCATGGTAAGGCCACCAAGCAAGCAGCCAGCACGACAAACAAACCTCTGTTTCTTCAACAGCTGCCAGACCCTGGAATGAGGTCCATTAAGGGATACGTTTTTTTTTTTGTTTTTTTTGTTTTTTTTTTTTTTTTTTTCAGCTCAAAGATCTTCAAAAAGAGGGTGGGTTTGAAATATGGGTAAAGGGTGGGGCAGAGTTCAGCTTAGAGCTCTGGTGTAGTTTCGATGTTGTTTTGTAGACAAATGTCCCATATTTGGCCAACTTGAGAATATTCTACATAGTAGGAGTTGTGAACAAAACTTAACTACCTCCCCCCGCCCCATATCTTCCCTCTGCCTGTCTGAGTCTAGGTTGCAGGCAGTGGCCTCCAATCCAGAGGCAGTTAGGCTCAGTGATGTAGTCTTGGCACCTGTGGAGTTGTTACTGTGGAGAAGTCGTGCCCTGAGGATCACCATGTCTGCCCTGTACCTGGTAGCTGACCCCTGTAATTCCAGCAGTTGGCGGGCAGAAGTAGGAGGATGCCTGCGAAACTGAGGTCAGCCTGGGCTACAAAGGGAGACTATGCCCCAAGAAAGCTAAAAATTGCAAAATGGAACAATGTTTGTATTGTGATTTGTCTTTGCCCCCAAATTTTGCAGCTTCAGGGTCCTGGTTCAGCTGGGATGCCATGTCGGCTTCGTAGCTGAATTGTGTTGCTATTCTAACATGGAAATCGATTTCCCATAGTTGGCACCAGGTCTCGATCAGTCACCCATTTCTGTGAACCACATTCTGGGTTGGAGCTGTGGCAAGCAGCCCTGTGGTGCCATCCTGATGTTCATGTCATAGCTTTGATATGGCATACTGGCTTACTTAAGTGCTTCTGGGGGGTCTTGTTTTGCTTCTGAGATAGTATGTTGGCCCATAGCCTAGGCTGACCTGGAACTCAGAGGTTCTTCTGCCTCATCCTTCTCAATGCTGGAATTATAGTAGTGAGCACTATGACGCCTTTCAGCTTTCAGACTATTTTTAACCCATAGAAACAAAAACCATTTAATACACACACACACACACACACACACACACACACACACACACACACACACACACATATTAATGATGAGGCACTATGTGCAAGTAAACAAAACTTAACTTGCTGGGGGCAGTAGGCTCATGTGTGGGCAATCCCCAAATGGGGGCAGTTCAGATAGGACGGTCCTAGCGAGTTCCCGACCAGCCTAGGCTACATACACAGAATGTTCAGTGCTACACCCGGGCAGTGAGTTTGAGGCCGGTATGGGTTACCAAACAGTGAAACCCTGTCTCAGAAACCTAACCACTGCCACCCCAGCCCAGATTCAAAACCCAAATCAAAACCAAACCTAAACAAGCCCTGGCTTAGGGTTGGTTGCAGTGTGTGGTTCTTGGGTCTTTCTCTGCTCAGCTGCATACAATCTCCAGGCGGATGTGAGCCGCCTTTGTGGGAACAGCTCAGTCCTTGACTAGCTAGAATAGAATTTCTAGAAAGTTTCTGAACCAGAGAGTAAGTCTGTGGCTCACAGGCAAAGGGAATGGGCCCTGTTCCCAACTACAGCATCGCCCTGCCCCCTGCTGTTGGCTACAGCGCCATTATCCTTTTAACTTGAATTGGCAGGGGACTTTAGGAGACTTTTTTTCCCCTTCTTCTTCTTAATTCCTAGAACTACCTCCTTCGTGGAAAACCAACTCTGTCAAAAGGTCAGCAGGTGACGCTCGTATTCTTAAACTGAAGGCCTGTCCAGGCCTTGGTAGAGCAGACTATCGGAGAATGATGTGGACGCTGTCCCTGTGACTTTGGTGGCAGGGGCGGGGCAGGGTCTTGTCTACTCGCAATGCTGGCCCCATTGTGGTTGCCCGGAGACTGAGGGGCTCTCAGGACCGCACCCTGAGGTGCCCACAAGAGTTGGGTAGTGTGGGACCAGCTCGCTTGGAGGAGTCTGCGGCGAGCTCAGGACAGGGCTTTCTGCAGCTGCAGGTAGACAGGCAGAAGAGGAAGTCGTGGGTCCGGTCTGGACACCGAGGAGGTGGGTTGCTCAGAGAGGGACGCTGTGCTTCTGGCTTCTGTAGACTCCAGCCACCTCGGGTGGGGGCGGCTCTCGGGAGGGGCCGTGGGGCGGCGAGCAGCGGAGTCCGATCGTCCCCGGTGGTCGTCATCCCCCTCCACCCCGCTTGACCAGTCCCAGGGTGGAGGCGACAGAACTGCGCCCCGCCCCCGCCCCTGCCGCCCGTACCCACACCAAGACGCACACGCTCCTTAATCTCCCCCCCACCCCCCCGCCCCCGGTTGCCCGGGCGACGGCCCAGACGAGCAGGTGATGCATTGACAGCGAGCAGATGGTCCCCCGTGGAGGCGAGCGCGGCCCACAATGCGCCCAGCGCCGCGATCCCACTGCGCCGCCCCCGCCCCGTGGCCCGCGCTGCCCGCATGCTAATAGGGGTCGGGGGAGGGGCCTGGGGCGGGGCCGTGCGCCCTGGGCACGCCCCCTGATCTTGCAGTCTCTTCGCCTCATTTTTTTTCCCCCTAATGCCATCTCGAATCCCCGCATCTGAAGAGTTTTCCTATGTCACACCCAGCACGCTTCATCTCTCTCCGAACTCTGTCTAAGTGGATCCAGGATACCCCCCACCCCCCCCCCCCCCACCCCCCCCCACACATACACACTTTGCCTTTCTCCCATTCTGCAGTTGCAGGAACCCCATTTACTCCCTGCTGGCATTTCATGGTTGATCTGGGAAGACTAGAGGAATGGGGTTTTTACCACAGCCCAGCCTTGATCCCTGCTTCTAGACCTGGCATTGGAATGGCAAAATGTGTAAAGACTCCCGCCCCCCAGCCCGCCCCCTCCCCGCCCCCACCCCCTATCCCCAATGCTTCATGGCCTTTTCAGGCTGCTGCTTTTCCGGGACTTTCCTTTCTGGAAGTTCAGAAATAAATCACTCGCTGGTGACTAGTGTGCTGCCCCTCCCGGGAAGCCCTCCCATTCACACAGCCTCCCCCCATTCATTGGACGCACACACCCTCTTCTGTAACCTATTCACTGCTGTGTGGCAAATTGAGGCGATCTTATAGTAAGGGCACGAAAACTGCCGGGCAGTATTCACAATTTTAATACTAACTTCATAGCTGTCACATAAATTCATTGCCAGGCCAACTCTATAATGGCCACGAAATAACTTTAAGAGAAGGGGGCAGATCTGAGGACAGCGTCATGGCATTTCTTTGATTTGCAGGTGCTCCCCCCTCCTTTAAACCATTACTACAGTAACTGCAGATAGCTTTCTCTTTCTTTTTTTTTTAACTGTCACACAGAGAGCTTTAAAAAAGCCATCCTTCTCCTTTTTATTTTACAGTAGATAAAAAATGCCAAATGCCAATAAAAGCTTTAAAAAAAAGCAGTGGAAAAAAAGAAAAAGAAAAAGAGACTAGTGAATAAAGTTGGGACAATACTGGGTCACAGAGCTGTCGAAACTAATGTCATAGTGCGGCTGTTGGGCGGGCGTACAGAAAACTTCTTGTTTCTTGATTTTTATGGAGATTTGGTGTGTGGCACGAAGCACTCCCTGAACAGGTTTAGAACAAGTGGGAAAGAAAGCACTCACAATAAACTCCCCTCCGACGGTCTTTCTGCCCACAAACACCTGTGAGTTACAAAGAGGCCTTTTGGAGGACAAAGAGAGGCCAGAGGGCCGGGCTATTGTCGCGAAATGGATGCCTCATGTACTCAAGGCTGTATGAGAGGGGTTGTTTTATTTTAAAACATGTCCTGGATCCTTGCTATGCAAACTTACAACCAGAAACCAAGCAGTTCTTCCGAGGGCTCTTTAGGACTGTTTCAAATGCATCTGCTCCCGAGCCAGTGTTAGCCAGCGTTTTTGCTAAGTTCTTAGACTAGTGGAATTCAGTAGAATTCAGAGAGTCGATTTATGCAAGCCTCCTAGGGAAGGGAAGTTAGTGGTCATTACCCAACACAGAGAAAAAAGTGGTTAGAATGTGTACTTAAAAGACGGATACTATTTGCATTCATTTGAAAAATTATGAGAGCATGTTTCTTTCCCTGGGAATGGTAATAATTTTCTGTTTATCTTCTTGATCTCTCGCTTTTCTTTTTTCTATTTTTGAGACAAGGTCTCTCTATGTAGCCCCAGCTGTCCTGGAACTTGCCATGTAGAACAGGCTGGTCTTTGCCTCTACTTCCTGAGCGATGGAATTAAATGTGTGCACCACCACACCTGGATGCTTATCTTGATCTTATGATTTAGGCTTACTTATCACTTGAAGATTTTTGTTTTCTTGTTTCCCATTTTGACTTTGCCCCTCTTCTTTGTCATTTCCTTCCCAATAAGTTAGAATGATTGGAAAGCATATAAAACCATGAGGCAATAACTTTAAATTGGGTGACATTCCCTTTGCTTAAGATAACTAAAGGAGGCCAGAGTCAACCGTAGCCCGAAGCTAGTAAAGAAGCAGGGAAGCAAACAGCCATGTGGCCAGCAGCCATGTGGCCAGCAGCCATGTGACCAGCAGCCATGTGACCAGCAGCCATATGACCAGCAGCCATGTGGCCAGCAGCCATGTGACCAGCAGCCATGTGACCAGCAGCCATGTGGCCAGCAGCGGAGCTGCAAGGGTCTCAATTCACTGTCAGAAGGCTGTGTGGCTGGGGCATTGTGGGAGTGGGAAGAATTCTGAGACAGAGCTGGATGAGACTGGCTTGGGTCAGTTAGGAAGGTCTTTTGTGGGAATGGGGAAGGGAAGGCTTTTATTCTGAGATAAACAGAGCTGGGGAAGATTTTGAGGGATTTTCATGATTGGACTTACCATTTTAAGATAATCACTACTGCTTTGTGGAGTATTTTCTTAGTTTGCTTTGTGATGCTGCAACAGAATACTGCAGATACGAATGAATGGAGTCCTGTCTTGCAGTTCTGATGGCTGGCTTCAAGAGCCTGGGTGGCACTCGGCATTGTGCTATCTTATACTGAGGAGGAAGACAGATGGGCAAGGGTTGGCTAAAATAAGCAAGAGAAAGAGAGAACCCGGGGCCTCAAACTCTTTTATAATGGGCCCTGACCAGTTTATGAGATGAGAGTCCTTACAGGTTGTAGGGCAGAACTAGAACCAGACAGGCAATGGCTGGTTAGAGACCTGTTGGAAGGCCACCTCAGTCGCTAAGACAAAGCATAGTCTTGGAGTAAATTGTGTCAGCAGAAATGAAGAGAATGAATGGCTTCGGATCTGTTTTAGAGAAAAGTATGAGACCTGATGAATGAAAATGTGTGGGTGGGATGAAGAGAAGCAGCAAGGACAAGATCTTGGGGCTGAGGGTAGGTGTGAACAGCTGAAGGGGTGGTACACACATGGAGAGGGTAGGTGTGAACAGCTGAAGGGGTGGTACACACATGGAGAGGGTAGGTGTGAACAGCTGAAGGGGTGGTACACACATGGTGAGGGTAGGTGTGAACAGCTCAAGGGGTGGTACACACATAGAGAGGGTAGGTGTGGACAGCTCAAGGGGTGGTGCACACATAGAGAGGGTAGGTGTGGACAGCTCAAGGGGTGGTGCACACAGGGAGAGGGTAGGTGTGAACAGCTCAAGGGGTGGGGCACACATGGAGAGGGTAGGTGTGAACAGCTCAAGG